GCTTGTGGGTAAACAGTATTTCTTGCTGTTTCTTTGTCAGTGTTGATGTGGAGATTGTCTGTTTTGCCCACTCTGGAACATGCAACATATCATTGCCCTTCTTTAGGGGTCCCTTTCAAATCGATGATACTATATCTGTGTGTGTGTGTGTGAATCATCTCTCTCTATATATATCTATGGCTAGATGACTCTTTGTCAGGAGGGCTTTGATTATGTTTTCTTGCCCTTAAGTATTTTCTGTTGGTCATGGGGGTTCAGTGTGGGAAGTTTGCCCTGATTATGTCGTTGGTGGGGTTCAGAATGCTCTTTGATTGTAGGTGAACTGTGAATCACAGTGACTACAAATCCCAAATGTCAAGGTCTATTTCCCCCAAACTCCATCTGTGTTCATATTTGGGCGTATTGAGTGCTCGTGCCAAGTCCAGATCCATCATTGTTTGAGTCCACAGTGCTCTCTGGATGTAGGTGAACTACAACTCTCAAACTCAAGGACAATGCCACCAACCCATCCAGTATTTTCTGTTGGTCATGAGAGTTCTGTGTACCAAGTTTGGTTCTATTCCATCGTTGGTGGAGTTCAGAATGCTCTTTGATTGTAAGTGAACTATAAATCCCAACAACTACAACTCCCAAATGACAATATCATAATGTTTTGAGTGATGGTCACTCCTTGTGTTGTGAGACATTTTGTTGCCAAATTTGGTGTGATTTCGTTCATTGGTTCTTTTGTTTTTAAGGTACTCATTATGCACAGAGCATTTATATATATATAAGAAGACTGACAAGCAACCTTTCATTTATATATTAATCAGTCGAGTTACTGTTCCCACTAATGAAGAATTCACTGTAATATAGAAATTAGGATTAGCAATCTGCAGGTTTTTTATGTTTGTTGTTATAGATATCTGTGCATGTTACACCTTGATCATTTTAGTCACCCTCCTCTGGACACATTCCAGCGTGTCAACATCTCATTTCAATTGCGGTGCCCAGAACTGGACACAATATTCCAGGTGTGGCCTGACCAAGGCAGAATAGAGGGGTAGCATGACTTCCCTGGATCTAGACACTATACTCCTATTGATGCAGGCCAAAATTCTGTTGGCTTTTTTGCTGCCGCATCACATGTTTCACTTGTCCACGAGGACTCCAAGATCTTTTTCACAAGTACTGCTCTTGAGACAGGTGTACTTCCAAGGATTGCCCGTGGGACTCAGATTTTAAACTATCTAGAAGCAAGTGTTTTTGGAGTCAAGTAGCTATTAACGCCAGGTTTCTCAATTCTCTTGAAAGATGGGTACTCTACTTGATAGTGTGATAATGTCTCCGTTGTATTTTATAAAGATGAATGCAGAGGGCGATTGCTATGAAAACAGTAGGAGTAACACATTTGATGAGGGAGACAGCAATTATAGTAGAATCTTGCGTATTGGCAGAACTTGTTGGGCAGCAAGCAGATCTTAGCCACGTCCCATGCACAAGACACACAGACAAGAGTAGAAACGAACAGAAAAATCTTTACTTCTTACTAGCAGAAATGAAACACAGACTTCCAATGTTGCATACAAAAATAAACAGTGCAAGAAACTTACGTAGTCATTGTATGTAACACAAAATAAAGCCTCATCTTCATCTTCAGTTAAATGAGAAAATAAAACATAAACTTCGAGCAAACAGCTATTCCACCATTGTTCTTTCGCCGCTGGACCTGAAATGAAGTGCCTTTAAGAGAGGATGTATGGCTTGGATCCAGCGGGAARCCAGGGCTCCCGAAAAGAAGCCTTTAGAGAAATTTCCCTTATTAAACAGTCTTTATGACGCTTGAGCTTAARTATAACAGTCTTTTATTGATGGACAAAGAAGAATTGTAAAGCTTTCTTAACAGTCTCTTGGCTCTTGCAATCTTGTTCACAGGGAACAGGCACTATCTTCAAAAAAAACCTTGTTTAAAGGAAAATTCCCCTTTCTAGCTCCTCCCAGGCTGCTGTGAACCTAAACCTTATTGATGTGGATTCACTACCRGGCTGAACYRCGTCTCAAYRCYGAGCRAACCTAYCAARAKGCTTGTAATCACTTAGCTGCTTTGATGGTTAGARCTGTTATTCCCTCCGGAATTCCTCAGGGCTGTAAGGCTGTTTCCCCGGAACCTTTGGGAATCTTCAGAGGCTCTCAAGACTGTTCTCTCCCGGAAAGTCTTAAGGGATGAAGCCTTTGCACAGAAGGATGTCTGTATACATCCTCTGCATTGACTTCCTTTGCTGAGACTAACTGAAAAATGGCCCCTTCCCTCCAAAAAACCCAGAGAGGGGCGGGACCAGGGATCCTAACTATAATAGACAGGTGGCTTGCCCTATGATTGCAAACTATAACAGGAAGCCACCCTGCTGCCCAATCCCAAGCCTGGGATTGCAAACCAACATTTAATTCAAAGCAACTAAAATTGGAGCTCCTGGAACAGCTGTTCCAGAACAACCATAGCCTCCTTTAGAGTAGCGTAACGGCTTTTCTCCAACCTGCTGCTTGGAGCAGAGCCTTTGAGCAAAGATCTCCTCAGAGAAAAAGCTCTCCACCACTGTATTATAAAAAACCCATACAGTTATACCCTAAGACAGTGGTTCTCAACCTTCTTAGTGCTGCAACCCCTTAATACAGTTCTGCATATTGTGGTGACTCCCAACCATAAAATTACTTTCATTACTTCATAACTATAATTTTGTAGGTCAGAACACCGAAAAGCCGCAAACCTGGGGAAAAACCAGCAGCATCTACCACCAAGATAAAACAAATACTTTTCTCCCCAAGATCAGTCCCAAGGCTAGCTCCTTATATCCAGAAACACCTAGCTGCAACCTATCTCTTGCATGCCTCCACCCTTATTTGCTTTCACCCATGAACTCTTACTTACAGATTACTCAACCCTTTAGAACTAAGACTTACATTAACCCTTCCATCACCAACTGCTAGGCCTACCACCACCAACAACTGCAGAACATGATACATGACACAAACGCTCTTAAATCCATAGTGCTTCTGAAAGTTATCAGACCAGCCCTTCCTGGCAGTGAATTTGTCCGATTAGTGGGAGAAACAGTCAATGTTGATGGTCGTGCTACATCATGAAAAACTGTGAAACAGTGAGTCTGCGAAAAGCGAACCGCAAAGTAGCAAAGGACCACTGTACTCACTGAAGTCTATAAGTCATACTCTATCCATTAAAATCCAAACATACTTCTCTGCTGAAGTCCAAACAGCAACCTGTTGTCATTGAAGACTAAACACACACATCCACCTCCAATGAGGTGGGAAGCAAACACATCCACCTCCAAAGAGGTGTTCAACAGACAAAATGGAGTCCTGAGTCTGAACATGCTCAGTATAGTCACGTCTTTAACCCCTCCCACACCAAAGGTATAAGTCAAACTGGTAAGTCAATGTACACATCAAATACAGGTTAGAAAACATATACATTAACAAATAAATAGTGAAAGGCTTGAGAGGTTGCTATTTCCAACACTCATGGGATGAAGTCCGAAGAATAGATCCCGTGAAAGTTGAAAAGGGGGCCATTGTCCTCCTCCAACGTTGTCCTTCTCCAACATTGTTCTACAAACAGGTTTCCGGAAAGATACAGCAATGGATGGGAATTAGTCATACACAATTTATTTCCAAAAGTGTCACCTCTGACTCAATATTAGGACATTCAAGCTCTGTTCCCATAACAAAGGTAGTGTTGTACTCCAAAGCTGGGAATACCCTCTGCACTTTACACACACTCCAATCCAAGGTAAAATAGCAAAGCAATTTATTGAAGAATATATATGAAGAATATATATATAAACTGCCTGTAGACTGTTAGAAATTGTTGGAGTTGAAGTCCAAAACACCTGGAGGGCCCAGGTTTGCCCATGCCTGGGTTAGATGGACCATTGGTGACTTTCATCCTAGAGCAGCAGGAGGAAACCGGTGCTCTCCAGATTTTCTGAAGCAGAACTCTCATAAACCTTGACAATTGGCCATGCTGGAGGTAATTTTACATGGAAGTGGATTCATAGAATAACCAAGGTGAAAGAGACCACGTGGGCCATCTAGTCCAACCCCCTGCCATGCAGGAAAAGCACAATCAAAGGACCCCTGACAGATGACCATAGTTTGTGCAGCTTACTAATTATGGCCATAGTTAAGACACTATGAAATAGTTCAATTGGACTGAGCTTTTCATATTGAGTGTATTTATAAAGCATTCTAATGGCTTTGATAATAACTTCCATGGGATTGAAAATGTTGGTAATTATTTATCGTATCAGGAGTGAACCAAGGGTACAGTTATAATATATTTAAAAAGCACAAAGTTAAAAAAAACCCCATGGCATTATATTAAATGTCCTTTGACCAGTAGCTGGCCACTTGGAGTGCCTCTGGTGTTGCTATAGGAAGGTCCTCCATTGTGCATGTGGAAGGGCTCAGGTTGCATTGTAGTAGGTGGTCTGTGGTTTGCTCTTCTCCACACACGCATGTCGTGGACTCCACTTTGTGGCCACTTTCTTAAGGTTGACTCTGCATCTCGTGATGCCAAAGTGCAGTCTGTTCAGCACCTTCCAAGTTGCTCAGTCTTTTGTGTGCCCAGGGGAGAGTCTCTCATTTGGTATCAACCATGGGTTGAGGTTCTGAGTTTTTGCCTGCTACTTTTGGATTCTCACTTGCTGAGGTGTTGCTGCAAGTATCTCTGCAGATCTTAGAAAACTATTTCATGATTTAAGGTGTTGGCATGCTGGCTGAACAGGGGATGGGCCAGAGATGTCACTGCCTTGGTTCTTTCGTTATTGGCTGCTACTTCCCGGCGGATGTCAGGTGTTGCTGATCACCATCCATCTTAATTCCTACAATGAATCTGAACTACTAAATAGTTGGTCATGGTTTTAAACCAGTTCCACTGCCTTCTAGTTCTCCTGTTTCCTTTCTGTCTCAAACTTATAAAACCATGTCTTCCAATCCAGGTCAATATTATTGGTGTAGACTGTACTGCGATATCCCACCATGCTCCTGTGCCAGTCTTCTGTGCTCCCTAAACTTCCCGATGATCGGGACAGGATGGTCTTGAAAGCCCCAGTTCGCATTGTTCCTCTATGGCGGGACCTCAAAGTCCAACTCATGGAAACCCTGGAGCTACAAAAGGTAGGAGAGACAGCTATGAAACAAGAACCAGGGTTTTCTTCGCCAGCAGGGTTGGACCGAGGGCAAGGTGGATGGATGATATTCTTGAAGTGACTGGCTTGACCTTGAAGGAGCTGGGGGTAGCTAACAGGGAGCTCTGGCGTGGGCTGGTCCAGGAGGTCACAAAGAGTCAGAAGCAATTGAACGAATAAACAACAACTGGGTAGGTTGACGGAGAGAGATGTCTTCCAAGATTGGTACCAAATTTCACTGAGAAGATTCCTTCCTTATGCTCCTTCCTTCAGTAGTTGAATTCTGTCCATCTGTCATGTATAGTTAGACCTTCCTTCATGTCTGTCTTTTCCCTTATCCCTTCTTCTTGAACAGGGCATGCCAGAACCAACTGAAGGAAGTCCCATCTTGCTGAGTGACAGGCCCAATATTATATTTCGAGAGAGTTGCGAACCCGATTCCATGCCACTTGTCTTCTTCATTCGGTCAAGTGACGTCGAAAGCTACCTTGCATCATTTACCTGGAAGAGAGGGAAGGGAAGCAAGGTGAGAGGGAACATGGTGGTTCATGGGAGATGGGTATCTATGCCATGGTCATTCCCAACCTCGGATCTTTATATACCTCCTCCGAAGGACAATATAATGACCTGGTTGTTGAGTTATTGTTGTGGTTCCTTCACTCTGCTTCCAACCATAAGGTGAACCTATGACAGGGTTTTCTGAAGCTGAGAATGTGTGACTCGCCCAATGTCACCCAATGGGTTTTCATGCTTGAACGAGGAATCAAACCCTGGCCTCTAGAATCCTAGTCCATCGCTCCCACCACTGCACCACACTGTTTCTCAATAGGACCTATCGAGTTCAACTTACTGTTTCTCACAGTAGCAAACTTGGAGGCAGCATGTAGTCATCATAACATGTCTATCATCTTCTGCTCTGCAGGAGACAGTTTCAGCAATCCTCCAGATAGATAGATTGGATGGAGATAGGTAGGTAGGTAGGTAGGTAGGTAGGTAGGTAAGTAGGTAGGTAGGTAGATCGATCAGGAGGACTGCTGGAAGTTGCAGTCCAAGAATAGGTAGAGAAGGAAGAAAGGGAAGAAAGGGGAAGGGAAAGAAAAGGAGGGGGAAGGAAGGAAGGAAGGAAGGAAGGAAGGAAGGAAGGAAGGAAGGAAGGAAGGAAGGAAGGAAGGAAGGAAGGAGGGAGAGAAGGAAAGAAAAAAAAAGGGAAGGAAGGAGAGAAAGAAAGAAGGAGAGAAAGAGGGAGGTTGGCCACAGCAAGTAAGCATGCATGGTGTGTACAGCTAGTAATAATAATAATAATAATAATAAATACCTGCATGCCCCACTGCCTTGAGCCTGGGTCAAAGTCTGTTCCTCTGACTCGCAGCTGGTCTGACTTCAAGTATACTCTGGCTGAGTTCCTTTTCCTCTTACAGGTGCGTGCCTGGATATACAGCTCAGAGGACGAGACCACAGTGACAGAGAGAGAGTATTCCATCATTAAAAACCCCAGGGTCCTCATGATTGTCCATGTCAGCCACCTGCATCTGCTGGTCGCCTTTTGCGATGACATCCACTTGCGTTTCTTTGGAGACTACACTCAGGGGTATCAGCTGCTTTCTGAGATGAGCTCGCCTTATTCCATCACTAGCCTGTGCTCCAACTCTGAGACTGGTGAATTGGTGACAGGGGCCATTGGCATTGTGACTTTCTGGTCTTTTGTCATCGAAGATGTTCCTTCCATCAATATCGAGCAGGAGGTGCTCATTGCGAGCGGAGAGTTTGTACACTTTCTCAGAGTGGAGCCAGAGTGGGGAGCGCTGGTCGCTTTGTGTGAAAACAATATCCGTGTGTACAACTACAAAACCAAGGTCCAGATTTGCAATTTCCAGGTCAGCCAAGGTGTGTCTCTGACGTGCTGCACTTCAAATTGTGCCCAGGGCTTCCTCTACACGGGAGACCTGGCTGGGGACATTACAGTGTGGGACTTTCTCAAAGGGAACCTGGTCCACCAATTCAAGGCTCACTTGAGCGCCATCACCAGCATAATCAGCCGGATGTCAGTCCATACCCTCATGACCGCATCACTGGACGGTCTCCTAAAGGAGTGGAACCTGACTACCTGTGAGCAGCTCCGGCGTGTGGACATTGGGGAAGAAGTTTTCCAGATGCAGTTCATCAATGAGCAGACGTTCTTCCTCCGTACTAGATACACCTTTTCCATTCGGACTGTCAACAACTTCTACCAGCTCTTCAACAGGTCTAAATCTAGCCTCAAGAAGCTGGAACGGGTGCAGTGTGGATCAGACAAGGCACGCATCCTGGCAGCAACGGAAGACGGGGTTGTCCGATTCCTTTCTCCTGTTACAGGAGAGATGTTGTTTGTCACCTGGCCCTTCCAATTACTCGAGAAGGCCCTGGACTATGTTTATGATCCTGACCAGGAGGAACTGTTAATAACATTGGGCACAAGTGATATCTATGTCATGGATACCGCCAAGAATCCTTGCCCAGTGAAGTATATCCTGCATACTGCCGACTCCATAGACGACAAGGTGCTGTGTTTGGCCTACAGCCGCCTGGATCTGAATGGCCGCACGTCTAGCTTCATCTTCAGTGGGTTCAAGAGTGGGAAAGTGCGCACGGTCACCCAGAATTTGTATCGGATGGGTGGTCGCAGAATTCATAATGGCAATGTGCTGGCACTCAGCAGCCTTTCGGCCTCAGGGAACCTCTCATACCATTCGCGGGAATCCTCCTACTTGTGCTCCTACGGCCTAGATAATTACATTATTCTTTCCGATGTGATTTTGAAGAAGAGCAATCTTCTGGAGGTGGTACCTCTGGTTTCTATCCAGAGCACCAACTGCAGGATCAACAACCTCCTACTTATTCCTGGCTACATCTGTGTCCTCACAGATCAAAACCGTGTTCGGTTGTGGCGCCAGGCAACGCTAGTCCCTGGCAAAAAGAATCCTTTCTGGAAAGAGACCGGCGCCATGCATTCCTCCAGCATCACTTCCTTTGATTACTGCCACACGCTCAGCCTCCTGGTGACGGGCGGTTCTGACGGATCTGTCCGCATTTGGGACATCCTGGGGCAGATGTTAGTGGAGTTTGACACGACCCTCAAATTCAGCCGTGTCTGCTTTGCCAACCAGCGGGGAGACTTGATCGTGGGCTTCAACATGAACATCTATTTCATCCCATGTGTCTCGTACCTCCCCAACAAGCACCTCATGATGTTGGCAACCCGGAGCGTGAGAGATGATACGGCTGAATGCCCTCTTCCATTCATGACACGTTTCTTGCTATCGTTCGACATTGTTTTTGTGCCCAAGTAAGTCATGTGGGAAGAGGGAGGAACAAAGCAGTAGAAGATGTGATCCCTGTCTTAATACAGGTAGATTCTTTTCTACCTTTGCAATTAGCATACCCTGTTTCCTTGAAAATAAGACAGTGTCTTATATTAATTTTTGCTCTGAAAGATGCGCCAGGTCTTATTTTCAGGGGATGTCTTATTTTTCCATGAAGAAGAATTCTGCCAAAAGGTTTTCTAAGACCATCATAAATATATGTTTCTGATGGTCTTTGGCGACCCCTCTGAAACCCCCTCACGACCCCCCAGGGGTCCTGACCCCCAGGTTGAGAAACACTGGTGTAGATGCTCTCTGAGATACACGGAAAAATCAGTTTGAGGAGATAAGGAAGTCACAGGAGACAGAGTGAAAGCCAAAGGACTGCTATGTTGAAGACATAAGTGACAGCTGTTCAAGGACTCCTCCTTTTCCCCATTATCTTAGTTTTCCTGCCAGTTTTTTTTTAAAATGAAGAAACTGCATCCCCCATGTTATTTTAAGCAGTGAGTATCCCCACTTCCATTTTTTCGGAGGAAGTGGAAGCTGGCTGGAAGTAAGCATTGTAAGCAAAGCAAAGTCCTTTGTCTCACCCTGGTCCTTCCACAGATATATAAACCCTTTTTCCCAGTTCCAACAGACCTCACTACCTCTGAGGATGCTTGCCATAGATGCAGGCGAAACGTCAGGAGAAATGCCTCTAGAACAGTGTTTCTCAACCTGGGGGTCGGGACCCCTGAGGGGCTCGCGAAGGGGTCTCAGAGGGGTCGCCAAAGACCATCAGAAAACACAGTATTTTCTGATTGTCATGGGGATTCCATGTGGGAAGTTTAAACCAATTCTATCATTGGTGGTGTTCACAATGTTCTTTGATTGTAATGAACTATAAATCCCAGCAACTACAACTCCCAAAAGTCAAGGTCTATTTTCCCCAGGCTCCACCACTGTTCACATTTGCGCATATGGAGTATTTGTGCCAAGTTTGTTCCAGATCCACCATTGCGTGAGTCCACAGTGCTCTCTGGATATAGGTGAACTACAACTCCCAAACTCAAGGTCAATACCCACCAAACCCTTCCAGTGTTTTCCGTTGGTCATGGGAGTTCTGTGTGGCAAATTAGGTTCAAATCCATTGCTGGTGGAGTTCAGAATGCTCTTTGATTATAGGTGAACTATAAATCCCAGCAACTACAACTCCCAAATGACAAAATCAATCCTCCCCCAACCCCACTAGCATTTACATATGGGTGCATTGGGTATTTGTGCCCAGCTTGGTCCAGTGAATGAAAATACATCTTGCATATCTGATATTTACATTATGATTTATAACAGTAGTAAAATGACTGTTATGAAGTAGCAACAAAAACAGTGTTATGATTGGGGGTCACCACAACATGAGGAACTGTATTAAGGGGTCACAGCATTAGGAAGGTTGAGAAACACTGCACTAGAACATGGCCATATAGCCCGAAAAACCCACAAGAACTTAGAAAGCATTGTGTTGCCTAAACATATCCCAGAAATAATTCCTGGCCTCTATTCAGTTTAATGCCGGTGTAAAATGGGGTGCTATAAAATAGTTTGCAGGGTGTGAAAGGATTTCCCATTTTGTTTAAGATGTCTGAGAGAATGATTTGGCTACATTTTAAAAACTGGGGAATTGAGGGACCGGATGTAGATTCTTGAAGAACTAGAGTAAGTGCAACGCAGCAGCAACATTTAAGGTACGGCATTGAAATTCTTGACTCAGAAATCCTTTATTTTCAAGGTATCATCAGGTGGGCAAGAAAGCAAAGAAGTTTGAACGTCTGGAGCCCATAACCAATCACAAGGAGGTGGTGATGGAAAAAGGTGTCGCCAAAGTGATGTCATTCATTGGCAAGCGAGTGAGCAGTCTTCCCGATCCAGATTTCTATGGGCTTACACCGGACATCAAGGAGTTGCACCCGGAGTTTGCTGTGGAGTACCAACTCCTTTCGAGGCCCACTTTGGGGAAGAGACACGCTCCGGCTGAGCCCCCACTGGCCCCGCCGCCTTACCGTGGGCTCCCACCACTGTCTAAAATTGTCCCCCTCCACCGTAGTATACCTTTCCAGCCTGGACGCTCTTGGCCCATTGCACCTGATGGCTTTGTCCCCAATTCAGTGATCCGAGCCCAATTGTTTCCACATGGGATCCCCACAAGCCTTGAGTGCCCCTTGATACCCAGCCGGGATCCCTTGCCAATGCGGAAGTTGGTTAAGATACAGCTGCAAGACTGGGATAAGTCAGAGGTTGTTGAGAAAGCCCGGAAGAAAAAGGCAGAAAAGTTAAAGCGGCCTGCCATCGAGGGACGCCGACGAGATCTACTGTCTGAAATTGTGACCAAACCCTGGTTGAGGCACAAGCCTAGTGATACATCACTTCCTTCTGTAATTAAGGCCATTATAAACATAATGGACGATGTGCCCTATTCAACCTACTTGCTCTGTACATCTGCCCTGGTCCAGCTTTCTGAGTCTTATGAGCTGCCAACGCCAGTCCAGGAACAGGCCTTTGACCGTCTCATCCAGGACACGAACCACAAAGAGGTCAGCATGGGCATTACGAGGTGGGGCCAGTGGGACGTGGGGAGGAACAGAAGTACAGTAGAGTCTCGCTTATCGCTCATCCAACGTTCTGTATTATCCAACGCAGTCTGCCTTCCTCCCGGATCGACAGCTGTTTCAATACATTGTGATGTTTTGCTGCTAAATTTGTAAATACAGTAATTACTCGATAACATTACTGTGTATTGAGCTGCTTTTTCTGTCCATTTCTTGCAAATCATGATGTTTTGGTTCTTAATTTGTAAAATCATAACATAATTTGACGTTTAATAGACTTTTCCTTAATCCTTCCTCATTATCGAACATTTCCGCTAATCCAACGTTCTGCTGACCCGTTTATGTTGGAAAAGCGAGACTCTACTGTATATCAATTAGGAATTTTGGTACTGTTCCATTATCCAGGTAGAGGCCACTAAGGGAAACTAGAGAGAGAAGGATAGCCCGTTTTGTTGTGTGTTTCAGTCAGGTCCAAAGCAGAAGACCCAATAACACTGCACACAGGCAAGAGGAAAAAGAACAGAAAAACTTTTATCAGCAGAGTTAAAATATAAACTTGCAATGTTGCAAACAAAAAGCAAACAGTGCAACAAACTTACACAGCCCTTGTAAGCAATACAGAATAAGTGGGTTGTTGTAGGTTTTTCCGGGCTGTATGTCCATGTTCTGGAGGCAATTTTTCTCCTGACGTTTCACCTGCATCTATGGCAAGCATCCTCAGAGGTAGTGAGGTCTGTTGGAAGTAGGAAAATGGGTTTATATATCTGTGGAATGACCAGGGTGAGACAAAGGACTTTTGTCTTCTGGGGCTAGCTGTGAAATTTCAGCTGATCACCTTGATTTGCATTCAATGGATTGGAAGCGCCTGGGGGGAATCTTTTGTTGAGAGTGATTTTATGTGCCTGGTTGTTTCCCCTCTGTTGTTTTGCTGTTGTAATTTTTGAGTTTTTTTAATACTGGTAGCCAGATTTTGTTCATTTTCATGGTTTCTTCCTTTCTGTTGAAATTGTCCACATGCTTGTGGATTTCAATGGCTTCTCTGTGTAGTCTGACATGGTGGTTGTGAGAGTGGTCCAACACTTCTGTGTTCTCAAATAATACACTGTGTCCAGGTTGGTTCATCAGGTGCTCTGCTATGGCTGATTTCTCTGGTTGGAGTAGTCTGCAGTGCCTTTCATGTTCCTTGATGCGTGTCTGGGCGCTGCGTTTGGTGGTCCCTATGTAGACTTGTCCACAGCTGCATGGTACACAGTAGACTCCTGCAGAGGTGAGAGGATCCCTCTTGTCCTTTGCTGTGTGAATAATATATATCTTGTCCTTTGCTGTGTGAATAATATATATCTATCTGTATCTATGGCTGGATGGCTCTTTGTCAGGAGGGCATTGATTACGTTTTCTTGCCCTGGTGAAGGGAGTTGGACTGGATGGCCTTAAGTATTTTCTGTTGGTCATGTGAGTTCACTGTGGGAAGTTTGGTCCAATTCTCTCGTTGGTGTAGTTCAGAATGCTCTTTGATTGTAGGTGAACTATAAATCCCAGTAACTACAACTCCCAAATGTCAAGGTCTATTTCCCCCAAACTCCATCTGTATTCATATTTGGGCATATGGAGTATTTGTGCCAAGTTTGGTCCAGATCCATCATTGTTTGAGTCCACAGTACTCTCTGGATGTTGGTGAACTACAACTCCCAAACTCAAGGTCAATGCCCACCAAACCCTTCTAGTGTTTTCTTGGTCATGGGAGTTCTGTGTGCCAAGTTTGGTTCAACCCCATTGTTGGTGGAGCTCAGAATGCTCTTTGACTGTAGGTTAACTATAAATCCCAGCAATTACAATTTCCTGATGGCAAAACCAATTTTTTTGAGGGATGGTCACTCCTTGGGCGAGTAGGTGTCTTGTGGCCAAATTTGACAGCAATTTGTCCAGTGGTTTTTGAGTTACGTTAATCCCACAAACGAACATTACATTTTTGTTTATATAGATTGTCAGCATTGAATGTTTGCTATTGTATATTTTGTTGTGAAGCAGCCTGGGTCCTTTCAGGGAGATTAGGTGGGCTATAAATAAAGTATGATTCAAGTTTCATATTTTGTGACAAAACAACATTTAAAATGACGCCACCAGAATCCAGTGGCTGCAATACCCTTTCAAGAGACTTTGGGGAGAGATAACACCCAACTGCTTTTGTGGAATGATGTTTTCTTCCTCTTTGTGATTATTAAATCCATCTCTCTGTGCTCCAAGAGTTGAAGCAATGCTGTGTTGTAGGCTACTGGTGTAAGCATTTTGCAGAAGAGAAAACAGAGGGTGGCTTGCCCATTGGTGAGGCATACAGGTGTCTATGGCTAGTCCCTCTCATTGCTGGGCACTTCATGTGTACAAGAATTTGGATCCCATGTCTGCTTTCTCCGTAGGTAAGGATGAGGCTGGCTGCTTGGGAGGCATTGGGGAAGATGGACCTGTTGACTGACCAGGAGGTGGTCCCACTCGCTCGAGCCCTTTTGGATGAAAACAAAAAAGTGCGAGATTTAGCTCGTTCTTTGCTTGACTCTGTGGCTGGCATTACGGACAAGTTTGTCCTGAAGAAGGAGATGCAACGGATGGCAGGCACCAGCCTGGATGACCTGTAAGTATCTCTCGCTGCTGGGAGAAGTGTGTGGCGTGAGACTGGGCCCATAACCTGTGGCATAATGTAAAATGATCCACGTGTAGTTCACATTTGATCAGTCCACACACTGTCTTGCCAGAGAAAGAAAATATGTCACTCAGGTGAACAGTAAAGAATAAGTAGTTTAGTCTTCGTAGTGCAGAACTTTCTGACCGAAAGGTTGGTGGTTCAAATCACGGGACCAAGATGAGTTCTCATTGTTAGCCCCAGCTTCTGCCAACCTAGCAGTTCGAAAACATGCAAAAGTGAGTAGATCAATAGGTACTGCTTCTGCAGGAAGGTAATGGCGCTCCATGCAGTCATGCCGGCCACATGACTTTGGAGGTGTCTATGGACAATGCCGGCTCTTTGGCTTAGAAATGCAAATATGTACAATGTGATCAGTTGCACCAACTCACATAGTGTCTTTTTATGACAGATTGTGTCCATGTGGATAAACTCCTTCAGCAGCTCATGAAGTGAGAGCACACTCCAAGCTCTGTCTCTCTCTGCTTCTCTCTTCTTCTCTCTGTGCAACTGCATAGCTCAAGCCTGAACAAAAATGTAACAATAACCGCAAGTCCCAGGCTCAGCCTGCTGCCTGGGCATTGCATGACCAATCAGATTCATGCATCTTATTTTACAGTTGACACACACACATACTCACTGATTCCTTGCATGCTCCAACAAAGGGTAGAGGATGTGTTTCCATTCCTTGCAATACCAAAAGGAGAATTTTTTTTCCTGGCAGAACAAATGGCCAAAAAATGGCTTCTTTATGCAAGTATGTAAACTATAGTAGCTTGTATGTAGGACAACACTTTTTGTCCAATAGGATCTGCCATCATATATAGACAAGACATGTGTACAGCCAATACCTATGTTGAATGTAATTACTGATATTGCAGTCAACTGTTCTGGAGATATTTTTATCTAATCCTAGTGTTGTTGTCTATATCCAAAGAGTTTCTTGGTTAAATTTTTAATAATATTGAATTTTACTTGGTTTTTAACTATGCAAGAGCTAGTTCATATAGTATTTTATGTAGCATTTTAAGGGTGCATCTGGCCATTGATTTATGTAGCATTTTAATGGGTTGCGTTGTATTTTAATGGTGTATTTAGAATTGTAATTTGTAATCTGGTTTTTAGGGCCCCCTGTTAGTTCAGCGGGTTAAACCGCTGAGCTGCAGAACTTGCTGACTGAAAGGTTGGGCAGCAGGGTGAGCTCCTGCTGTTAGCCCCAGCTTCTACCAACCTAGCAGTTTGAAAACATGCAAATGTGAGAAGATCAATACGTACCGCTTCGGCTGGAAAGTAACAGCACTCCGTGCAGTCTTGCTGGCCACATCACTTTGGAGGTGTCCATGGACAATGCCGGCTCTTTGGCTTAGAAATGAAGATTAGCACCACCCCCCAGAGTTGGACACGACTGGACTTAATGTCAGGGGAAATCTTTACCTTTACATATCTGTTTTTTATGTATTTATTTGTTAGTCCTGTATATGAAAAGCCTATGGTCTAAGCATTAAATAAACTACTACAAGCAGAATGTAATGTGTGAATATCCCTAACATTTCTGTCCAAATTTGTACAAGTCCAGGTTTAACAAAAAAAAAACCAAAACCCAGTATTGTGGAGATTTGTATCCAAACTTGTACAAGTTCAGGTATAGCAAGAAGATGAGTGTTGTGAAGGTCAGGATGGGGACATTTTATTTAAGAATGGAAATATATTTCTATCAGACTTTAGAAGGTCAGTGTTTCTCAACCTGGGGGTCTGGAGGGGTGTCAGAGGGGTCTCCAAAGACCATTGGAAAACATAGCATTTTCTGTTGGTCATGGGGATTCTGTGTGGGAAGTTTGGCCCAATTCTATCATTGGCGAGGTTCAGAATGCTCTTTGATTGTAGGTGAACTACAAATCCCAGCAAATACAACCCCCAAACATCAAGGTCTATTTCCCCCAAACTCCACCAGTGTTCACATTTGGGCGTATTTGGTATCTCTGCCAAGTGTGGTCCAGAGCCATCATTGTTTGACTCCACTGTGCTCTCTGGATGTAGGAGAACTACAACTCTAAAACTCAAGGTCAATGCCCACCAAACCCTTCCAGTATTTTCTATTGGTTATGAGAGTTCTGTGTGCCAAGTTTGGTTCAATTCCATCACTGGTGGTGTTCATAATGCTCTTTGTTTGTAGGTGAACTATAAACCCTAGCAACTACAAATCCCAAGTGACAAAAACAATACCCACCCCACCCCCAACTCCACCAGTTTTGGGAGTATTGGGTATTTGTGCCAAATTTAGTCCAGTGAATGAAAATACATCCTGCATATCAGATATTTACATTGCAATTCATAACAGTAGCAAAATGACAATTATGAAATAGAACAAAAATAATTTTGTGGTTGGGGGTCACCACAACATGAGAAACTGGATCATGGCACTAGGAAGGTTGAGAAACACTGCCCTAGTATATCAGAGGATACCCCCGTCCCCAACCCCACCAGTATTCAAATTTGGATGTATCGGGTATTTGTGCCGAATTTGGTCCAGTGAATGAAAATACATCCTGCATATCAGATATTTACATTACGATTCCTAACAGTTATGAAGTAGCAACAAAAATAATGTTATGGTTGGGGGTCACCACAACATGAGGAACTGTATTAAGGGGTCGCGACATCAGGAAGGATGAGAAGCACTGATCTAGGTGCAAGGCTACATCTCATGTGGACTGCACTCCTCTGGCATCCTTGCCTTATGCTCTCCCTTTCTTCCTATTTAGGGCTGAAATGAACCGTTCTCAAATAGAACTAGCTTTCCCTCGCAGGATGCGTGCTGCCGGTATCATTGCAGAAACCCAAGATGAAGCTTTCCAAGCCTTGACAGAAGAGTCGGAGCGGCTGCTGAACCGAGTGGAGAATCAGCTGACGGCCAATCTGTTCCTGATGACCGAGACTCCCACACTAGAAGCCCAACGCTTCAGCCGCCCACCCCGTTTCCGGCAAAGAGCCTTGTCTCAAGGAGCGCAGGAAGAGATCGCCAAGCCAGACTCCCACTTGGAGGCCCGGGCCCGATGGCTGGGTCTCTTTGCCAGGACTGATAAGCTGAAGTCTCAAGGTCAGTACACATGTGGAAACATGTGTTGGTGACACATGTGGAAACATGTCTTCTTTTGGATGGGGTGTAAGGAGCTGTCCTCTAGAGCAGTGGTTCTCAAAGTGTGCTCCATGGAGCTCTTGGGGCTCCACAAACCATACTGAGGGTCTCTGTGCTCTCCTCCTCCTCCTCCTCCTCCTCCTCGGTCCTTCCCTTGTCCTGTCACCCTTGCTCCCAAAAGCCATTTCCCCTCAAACTCCTTATTTATTTATTTATTTATTTATATTTATTTACTTTATTTGTATACCGCAGTTTCTCAGCCCGTAGGCGACTCAACGCGGTTAACAACAAGAGCAAAAATTCAGTGCTAACAACATACACTATTTAAAAACAATTAACACCGTAGTATACTAAGTAATTAACATCAATAAACAACACATTAACATCTCGTAACTAGAATCGTGATCCAACTCATCATCCGTAATTCCGTTTTCCTATATTCATTATATTCATTGCACTGCTTCTCCGAACGCCTGTTCAAACAGCCAGGTTTTCAGTTTTCTTCGAAACACCATTAACGAGGGGGCTGATCTAATGTCCATGGGAAGGGCGTTCCACAGCCGAGGGGCCACCACTGAGAAGGCCCTGTCCCTCGTCCCCGCCAAACGTGCCTGTGATGCAGGCGGGATCGAGAGCAGGGCCTCCCCAGAGGATCTTAAAGTCCTGGTGGGTTCATAGGCGGAGATACGTTCGGATAGGTAACTTGCCACCAAGAGCCTCCCCCCTGACCTCTCTTGCCACCAACAGACTTTTCTCCTTGCCCTCTTTGCTTCCATGACTCTTATTTCCCTCCCACCGCTTAGAGGTGCTTTGATTGTACTTTTCCTGCATTGCAAAAAGGAGTTGAACTGGATAGCCCCTGGGGTTTCTGCTATTATTATCATTCTTCTTGTTGTTGTTATTACAAAGGCTGGGTGGCCATGTGTTGGGGGTGTTTTAATTGTGCTTGGCCTGCATGCAAAAGGGGGTTGGACTGGATGAGCTCTGGGGTTCCTGTTGTTGTTGTTACAAAGGCTGGGTGGCCATGTGTTGGGGGTGCTTTGATTGTGCTTGTCCTGTATGGCAAAACTGGGTTGGGCTGGATGAGCTCTGGGGTTCCTGTTGTTGTTGTTACAAAGGCTGGGTGGCCATGTGTTGGGGGTGCTTTGATTGTGCTTGTCCTGTATGGCAAAACTGGGTTGGACTGGATGAGCTCTGGTGTTCCTGTTGTTGTTGTTACAAAGGCTGGGTGGCTATGTGTTGGGGGTGCTTTGATTGTGCTTGTCCTGCATGGCAAAACTGGGTTGGACTGGATGAGCTCTGGGGTTCCTGTTGTTGTTGTTTGATACATATCAAGATTAGAAGTAGAAGAAGAAGAAGGACTTTATTTTTCTACCCCGCCTCCCTCTCCCTGAAGTGACTCGGGGTGGCTTACATTGGTCCAGGCCCAGGCAACATAGAATTAACAGCAAAGCAATAACAAAATAGAATTTAAAAAGCATAAAACAACACAACAATAATAGACAAGTATCAAGCAAGAAAAACTAATTTAAAAGGAGGGGGAAAGGCCAAAATATGGGCTGATCAATCAAGATCATTATGCTGGCTTTTGTATTGGATCACACGTCGGACACTTCCCAAGTTTCTAGGACTGTGTGGTGTATCAGTAAATAATATGTGCAGATCTGAGTAGGGTGGCCTTTTGCAGTTGCCAGATCGTAATTTTGTTGGTGCCAATTGTTTTTAAGTGCAGGCCAAGATCTTTAGGCACTGCACACAGTGTGCCGATCACCACTGGGACCACCTTGACTAGCTTGTGCCAGAGTCTTTGCAGTTCAGTCTTTAAATCCTCATATCGTGTAAGCTTTTCCAGTTGCTTCTTGTCAATTCTGCTGTCACTATTATTGTTATTGTTGTTGTTGCAAAGGCTGGGTGGACATCTGTTGGGGGTGCTTTGATTGTGCTTCTCCTGCAGGGTAAAAGGGGATTGGACTGGATGGCTCCTGGGACCTTCCACTGAAATAGTTAAGTTTATGCTAATTACAATTGTTTTTCATTTTAAATATTGTATTTCAATGGATTCTCAGTGTAGCCTGACATGGTGGTTGTAGAGTGGTCCAGCATTTCTGTCTTCTCAAATAATATGCTGTGTCCAGGTTGGTTCATAAAATGATCTACTATGGCTGACTCCTCTGGTTGAAGTAGTCCGCAGTGCCTTTCATGTTCCTTGATTTGTGTTTGGGCAATGCTGCGTTTGGTGGTCCCTATGTAGACTTGTCCGCAGGTGCATGATATACGGTAGACCCCTCTTGTCCTTTGCCGAATGTAGAATTTTTTGGATTTTTTAAGTGGGTCTCTAGATAGGTTGTAGATTGCATTTCTTCATGAGCTTCCCTATGCAGTCAGTGGTTCCCTTGAGGTATGGCAAGAACACTTTTTTCCTAGTATATATTCCTTCTAATATTGTTTGAGCATCTTGGTAGAAAGTCAAGGAATCAAAAGTGTAATAAATGGAAAGCATATGTTCTTAAGCATATGTGTCTGAAGACCTCTCATACTTATCTCACTTGTTGTTTTTCCCCATCAGCTGCTGCAGCAAAACAGCTTAAAGGTGAGAAACTTCGTAAAATCCGGCAAGCACACGGTAAGTACCCTGGCGTGTTTCCTGGGATGGCTGCACCCGACGGCAGTCCCTTGTCCAGCAGCTCCAGCCCCAGCTCCAGCTTGAGTTCTAGTGTCGGCAGTGGCAGCGTCCACAGCAGCGCCGGCAGCGGCGTCAGCAGCGCCAGTGGCAGTATTCGCATCCGTGTCAGCAGCTCCACGTGGCAGGGACCACAGCGTCCCAAAAAGAAGGTCAAGGTCACGGAGAAAGCAGAAGAGATCAAACTCGCTCCTGCCCTTACCCAGGTGACCCGAAAGCTACCCAAGGTGCACAAGCGGTTGCAGCCCATCCTCTTGCAGCGGCGTGACACCCGCACACAACTTTACACTGAGATGCTGAAGCACCAGAAAGTCAAGAAAGAGCCAGCGGTTGTCACTGCACCCATGGAATCAAAGCAAGAGATTGCCCCTGTCCCACTGAAACCCAGCCCGTCTGTGGCACCACCACCACCACCACCACCTCCACCACCGGCACCTGCCAAAGGCACCTTAATTGATCCGAATGAGCAGTACAACACTGACCGCACCAAGTGGCGCAAGGACCTCTATAAGCTGATGACGCTTCGCATTGGCAGCTTTGCTGAGGGCCGCACAGCAGCCGAGGACTTCCTGGCGTCTGCTCGTGCGGCCCTGAGCGGCCGTCCCATGTCCTGGGAGGCCTTCACAAACATCAGCCAGGCATTCCTCTCCTCTCAGGAGAAAATCACATCACAGGCCTCTAGCTGGAAGAAGTACATGAGCGAACTCTTCAGAGCCTCTTCCCAGGAATTCAAACCGTCAACAGAAAGCTTAGAAACGGTCTTGGATGTAAAAAAAGGAAGAGATATATTCAGAGGTTCATTGAGTGACGCGGAGAGCTTGGAGCTCAGTCAGGAGGATTCGGATTTGGAGAGAAGAAAGGAAGAAAGAAGGAGAAGAACGAAGGAGAAGAAGGAGCTTGACACGGCGGCGGCAGTGAAAAAAGAGATGTCCATGGCCTCCAAAATGCAAGCAACGAGGAAGAAGACGGAAAGGGAAGAGAAAATGGCTCGAAGGTTAGCGAAAGAAGGAAAGTTAGCTAAACTGAAAGACCAAGACACGTTGTCCCTAGATAGAGAGCGGGAAGTGTTGGCCAAAGAAAAAGAATATGAGTCAGCTGAAGAAAAAGAATATGTGTTGGTCCGGGGGACGGGGAAGAGTAAAGAACAAGAAGCGGCCAAAAGAAAAGAGCAAGAGGCAGTCAAGGGCAAAAGGCACGAGGCAGCTAAGGGAAAAGAGTATGAAGCGGCCAAGGGAAAAGAGCATGAGGCCGCCAAGGGAAAAGAGCATGAGGCAGCCAGGAGGGAAGAGCGTGAGGCAGCCATGGAAGAAGAGCGTGAGGCAGCCAGGGTGAAAGAACGAGAGGCAGCCAAGGCGAAAGAACGAGAGGCAGCAGCACGTAGGAGAAGGGAACGAGACTCGGTCTCAGTTGAAAGGAAAGAAAAAGAGGCGGCCAAGAAGAAGTTGGAGAAGTTAGCGGACGAGAAAAGAGAGGCTTTCCTGGAGGAGAAAGAGAAATTCCTTAAGGAGGTAGATGCAAAGATCGAGTCCATGCTCAAGAGTATCAAGAAAAAGCATGGGGATGAGACCCTGCTTACAGACTCGGAAAGGACCCTGTTCACGGTGACAGAAAGCACCATCGCCGAATTCCGGGCAGAAGCCAAAGAGAGGATGCTAGCAGAACTGAAGGAGCGAGCTCTGGTTGAAGCTCAAAAGATAGCACTGGAAGAAGTGAAAGAGAGAGCGTTGGCGGAAGCACGAGAGTTGGCTTTGGAGGAAGCAAGGAACTGGGCCTTGCTCCAAGCAAGGAAGATGTCCTTGATTGAAGCCTGGGAGAAGGTTCTGACTGAAGCACGAGAGAAAGCCGTAGAAGAAGTGAAGGAACAGGCGTTGGCTGAGGCCCGGGAGAGGGTGCTGGCCGAAGCCCGAGAGAGGGCTCTGGCCGAGGAGGAAGAGGAGGAAATGGAAGCCATCTTGGAAGAAAAGATCCAAGCACTGGCTGAAGTCAGAGCCAAAGAACTGGCCGAAGAAAGAGCCGTGGAAATGGCATTCTTGGTATCGCTAGAGGCGGATGAGGACAGGGTTTTACAATTGCTCGGGGCCTTCCCAGTAGAAGCAGATGAGGCAAGGATCTTTGAGCTAGCAGTGGAAAGAGCCCGGGAGCTGACGGAGGCAAGAGCAATGGAACTGGTGGAGGAAAAAATGACGCAGCTCTCGGATTCAGTCATAATGGAGCTGGTTGAGGAAAAAATACTAGAGCTCATTGAGGCACAAATGAAAGAACTGGAGAAGGAGGAAGAAAAAATGGCTGCTCGACAAAGATTAATTCCTGGCAGCAAGGAGTACCTTTTAGCCAGAAAGAAATTATTTTCTGCAAAAGAAGAAGAAGAAGAAGAGGCAGGGATGTGGGAGGACTTAGAAGAGGGGGAGAGTCCCTGGTCTCTTACTGAGCGTGAAACAGAGACTTTAATTGCCATGGCCCAGAAAGAACCCGTGCCATCACCAAAACTTGAGTTTTCAGAACGTGCTCAGTTGATCCTGGATGTCTTGACTGGACCAGAGAAGTTGGAGCGAACAGATTCTGAAAACTTCCAGCGCCTTTGTCAAGTGGTATCCTTGCTTGACATCACTTCAACAACAGATATTCAAGCACTGACTGTGACTCTGCTCCAGAAAGTTGGAGAAACCATCAAGGAAGGTGAGGAGCAGCAGGCTCTTTTGCCTGAAGAAGACGTCTCTGTTTTGAGGGTGCTCAAAGACACATTCAGAGCACGTCAGTCCTGGATGTTTGACCCGTCACAGTTTTCCAAGAAGCTGAGCGGCCTTCTGAAAGCTGCCGAGACTGTCATGCAGGCCAAGAAGTTGAAGGAGAAGCTGGACAGAGAATTTTGGAAAAAGTGCTGGGAGGACAGAGCTATGAAGCCACTGGAGGCTGGTGAAATGAAGATCAGGGGAAAGAAGGCCTGGCTGGGCAAGAAACTGAAAGATGCCCTTAGGAAGTGGAGAGTGGATCAAGAAAGGGCTCACTGGGAAAAGAGAGAGAAGGAGCGCCTGGAGAAGCGCCTCAAGATCAGATCACGGCCCATCCTGCTCGATGTGTCTGAGAAGGAGAAAGACGAGGAGAGTGTGTCAGAGGAGGAGAAAGCAGCGGAGGACGAGGAGAAGCAGAAGGAAGAACGGACCACTCGCCGTAAGCCCGCCCAACTGACTTGGTCACTGACTGCTCAGCGCGAGAGGGCCTGGAAAGTTATTGTGCAGATGGAGAAGCAGCTGCCTCTTTCAACTGAGGAGAAGCTCCGGCGCCACAGACCCAAAGGTCACCGGCTTCCCAAAGAATCTCTCTACTTGGCCAGCAAGCCAGTACTCACGGTTCATCGGAAAACACTCCGGCGTGGTGCCCAGCAGCACATTTTCCGTCTTGATCACGAGAAAGGTGTGGACTGGGACAGTTTTATGAACATCTACCAGTCATTAATGGCCTTGAAGCAAGAAGAAGGTGGCATGGACACAGCAGCTTGGCATGAGCAGTCTGCCCAGTTGCTGGATCTCTATGGCACAAGCAACCTGCTCGTCCGGAATATGCTGCAGCAGCTCTTGTTGGGAGACCGCCGCCATCGCAAATATGTCATGGGCAGCACCCTTAAGATGAGAAAGGCAGAAGCCGATTTAGGCCAACGGATCCTCTATGAGTTGATCCATCACTCAGCCCGACTTCGTCCCAGGCCTCCCACCATACATGGCATCATTCCACTCAGCTACCAGAACAATGTCCATCCCTTCAAGATGCGGGGGACGACCCGCTATGGCACCTTGGCCTTCAAGTGGAAGACCTACATGTCCAAGGGGAAGATGCCCAGGCTGCGCTTGTTCGTGCACTCAAATTCTTTTTGAAAGAGCTTTAATTACAAAAATCCTGTATACACTTACATGCAGATTCCACTACACATATATGTATATATCGCTTTATACTGATTTTTTTGTACTACACATCCTGCTTTCAATATACAACACAGACATTTGTGAGACCCTTCCAGGGTAGTGAACACTTACTCAAGCTTCCCGTTCAATAAAGGAAAAGTTAATCTGATTTACAACTCTTCTTAAGATTTTATTGGGTTTGGGATTTCATTTATTTCAAGGTTGGTAAAATATCATCCTAATGTTCAGGTGGAATTTCCTTTCTTGTAATTTGAAGCCATCCTAGTCTCCAGAGCAGCAGAAAACAAGCTTGCTCCCTCCTCCCTATGACTTCACCTCACATATTTATACATGGCTATCATGTCTCCTCTCAGCCTTCTCTTCTTCAGGCTAAACATGCCCAGCTCTTTAAGCCACTCCTCATAGGGCATGTTCTCCAGACCCTTGATCATTTTAGTTGCCCTCCTCTGGATACCTGCAGCTTGTCAATATCTCTCTTCATTTGTGGTGCCCAGAATTGGACACAGTGTGATTCCAGGCGTGGTCTAACCAAAGCAGAATAGAGGGGTAGCATGACTTCCCTGGATCTAGACACTAGACTCCTATTTACGCAGGCCAAAATCCCATTGGCTTATTTAGCTGCAACATCACATTGTTGGCTCATGTTTAACTTGCTGTCCACAAGGACTCCAAAATCTTTTTCACGTGTACTGCTGTCGAGCATGGAGTCCCCCATTCTGTATCTTTGCATTTCATTTTTTCTGCCTAAATATCTTCATGGACTTAATTCACCTATGGCATTGCTTTAAAAAAGCTATATAAGTTGACAAAGATCACAAGATGGAGGTGAATCTCCTCTCATTTTCTACCTTTGGGTGATTTAGTTGGCTATTGCTTGAACAGATCATCGTTCTAAAGAGACCTACTTCAGGATGATCCAGCACAGCTGTTTTTCTCTTCTGAAGTATAAACCCTACAATGATGCTAAACCAGTGTTTCTCAAACTGGAGGTTGGGGGGGGGGGAGTCACAAAGGGGTGTCAGGGGGTCACCAAGGACCATCAGAAAGCACAGTATTTTCTGTTAGTCATGGGGGCTCTGTGTGGGAAGTTTGTCCCAATTCTATCATTGGTGGGGTTCAGAATGCTCTTTGATTGTAGGTGAACTATAAATCCCAGCAACTACAACCCCCAAATGTCAAGTTCTATTTTCCCCAAACTCCACCAGTGTTCACATTTGGGCATATTGAGGACTTGTACCAAATTTGGATCGGTCATTTGTTGAGTCCACAGTGCTCTCTGGATGAAAGTGAACTACAACTCCCAAACTCAAGGTCAATGCCCACCAAACCCTTCCTGTATTTTCTGTTAGTCATGGGAGTTCTGTGTGCCATATGGGCATATTGAGTATTTGTGCCAAGTTTGGATCGATCATTGGGTGAGTCTAGCTCAGGCATGGGCAAACTTTGGCCCTCCGGGTGTTTTGGACTTCAACTCCCACAATTCCTAACAGTCCATAGGCTGTTAGGAATTGTGGGAGTTGAAGTCCAAAACACCCGGAGGGCCAAAGTTTGCCCATGCCTAGTCTAGCTGCATTGATGTTCAGAATGAGGAAGATGGAAAGAAGAAGTACCGCAGACAGGTTTGTAAACAGGTCCAAGCAAAATCTGGCCGTGAAGCACAGAAGTGGCAAATGTATCTATTTAACTCGGAAATCTACGCTACGTTACCATGTGGTTCAAGCTGCAACTTTGCCTAGTGTGCATCATCTGCAGCCATGCTCATGCACTCGTTTCCTATGAAGCATTGCCAGCAACTGAAGTAAGGCTGAGGAGGAAAGTGGGAGGAGGAGAGAGAAACTGGGACATTTTAAAAGCAGCTGAAAAGTGGGAAAGCAGAGGATTAATAAGGAGTATCCTTGCCAAATTGGGAAGCTGGAGGATATGGGACATTCCTAAAGTGGCAACTCTAGTGGCAATGAAAGTGGTAAACCTCAATCTGTGGTGGTCAAATCGTTCATCTCAAGCCGCTGCATGTTAGCCCTAAACTGTTTGATGCAGGGATGTGCGGTGAAGATGTTTTGAGAGCGAGAATATGGATGATTCTGAGCAGCTTTTAACATTGCTATGGTCCTTCCTGGGAGCATTTTGTTCCAATGGCAGATGCTGTAAGATGCAAATGATACAATTTGGAAGAAGGGAAACAGTGCCAACACACCAGGACAGGAAGGAACATCTATCATCCCCCAAAGGCCTCTCTCGACCAGTTCCCTCTGCTCCGATTGCTGCAAAGCCTCCATGCCGCCATCACGTGCCTCCTAATCCCCGCTGCTGCCTATCGAGGGAAGCCTATAATCCAGGGCCATTTCTGTGTCAGGACCTTGCTCAGATCTGTTCTCTTTGCACCTGTCTGGGTTCTGCCGAATAATCCTACTGCAAGCCCCCGGGACCTTGGCTTTCAGTATAGACCCCCCATCATCCAACAGCCATTGTCTGTTGTAAAAAAAATCCAATTAATTAAAAACATGCACAACCATACACTGGCGTAGACAGAGGTTGGGGGATACTGCCATTGCCATGTGAAGTGATGCCTGACAAATCCTATATCAGAAAAACCATGTCTTCCTATCTGCCGGTGCATTGACACTGCAGAATTAATGCAGCTTGACACCACTTGAACTTCCATGGATCAATGCTATGGAGTCAAGGGAGTTGCAGTTTGCTGAAGCACTAGCACTCATTTGCAGAGAAGGCTCAAGACCTTGTAAAACAATCACATGCTTTCAGACCTTTTTTTGTGTGTGTGTCAGGAGCAAATTGAGAAACTGCAAGTCGCTTCTGGTGTGAGAGAATTGGCTGTCTGTAAGGATGCTGCCCTTACATTTTGATGTTTTACCATCCTTGTGGGAGGCTTCTCTCATGTCCCTGCATGGGGAGCTGGAGCTGACAGAGGGAGCTCATCCACTCTCTCCCTGGATTCAGACCTCCAACCTGCCGGCTGAAGCATTTACCCCATTATGCCACCGGGGGCTCCAGACCATTGAGCCATGGCAATTAAAATGGTGTCAAACTGCGTTAATTCTACAGTGTAGGTGCAGATAAGTCAGAGTCAACAATGAGTCCTTTAAATTCTGTTTGTTTTCATTTTATATTTTGCTTTAAGTCCCTATGTTGACGAAAGGACTATTCAAATGCTATTAATAGTAGCACATCCATCTGATGGAGTAGATCTGCAAAATCTTATGCTGCCAACTTTGTTCTCCGGGGCCCTGTTTACACAACCATATAATGCCGTTTGAAACAGCATTGCATGGTCGGCGTAGATTTATATAACACAGTTAAACTGAATTATATGAGTCTATCTATATACAAGATGTATATATCTATATAACCTTGTTCCAAGGTGTATCTGTTACATAGGGAGCCCCCAGTGGTGCAGCGGGTTAAACTGCTGAGCTGCTGAACTTGGTGACCAAAAGGTTGGTGGTTTGAATCCATAGAGTGGGGTGAGCACCTGCTGTTGGCCCCAGCTTCTGCCAACCTAACAAATCAATAAATACTGCTCCGGTGGGAAGGTAATAGCGCTCCATGCGGTCATGCCGGCAACATGACCTTGGAGGCGTCTACGGACAACACTGGCTCTTCAGCTTAGAAATGGAGATGAGCACCACCTCCCAGAGTCGGACACAAATGACTTAATGTCAAAGGGAAACCTTTACCTTTGCTTATATACTGACCAGATATGCATTATATGGCAGTGTAGATGGGGTCTCAGTTAGTCTCTAAGATCCTTTTACATACTAATATATCAATCCATCTCTGAACTGAATGGAGGAAATATTGCTTGGGAAATATAAATGCCAATGAAGCAAAATGCTGTAGCAACATGGCACAAAAAGGCTGCAGATCGAAGGGGTACATGATATGGCACAACTGGGCCCTTTCTTATATGGTCCATATTTCTCACCCATCACTCTTCCCTTTTTCAGCTTCTTCGCCAGTGTATCTTTGCTGTGGGAAAAGCATCACCTCTGGTGTATCCTTCTCTGAGAGTATTCGATGAATTGTGCCAAGGTGTATCTGTTACACCAGCTGGCGTGGCAATCTGGTATGTTGCCAGTGTAGTAGGATTTCTGCGAGTGCATCCGCTGGTGAAATTCGACTACAGGAATGCACTTTACGTGGAAAACACCCATTTGTGTTTGATTTCAGACGATAAGCAGGGTCAAACTCGATTTGCCCTCGGAGGGGTGACCACCAAGGGGACTGTCAGTGATCTTCATGATTAAACTCTTGTGCTGGCAGGACTGAAGACTGACAGGTCAAAGATTTGAATCTGGGGAAAGCACGGATGAGCTCCCTCTGTCAGCTCCAGCTCCCCATGCGGAGACATGAGAGAAGCTTCCCACAAGGATGGTAAAACATCAAAACATCCAGGCATCCCCAGGGCAATGTCCTTGCAGATGGCCAATTCTCTCACACCAGAAGCAACTTGCAGTTTCTCAAGTCACTTCTGACAGGGAAAAAAAAGGTATAGATAGGAAAGAATTATGTTCGAACTCATAGAGAGTCATTGAGATTAACAATGGTCGATAATACTCAGCTAAAGTAAAGATAAAGGTTTTCCCCTGACATTAAGTCCAGTCGTGTCCGACTCTGAGGTGTGGTGCTCATCTCCATTTCTAAGCCGAAGAGCTGGTGTTCTCCTTAGACACCTCCAAAGTCATGTGGCCTGCATGACTGCATGGAGCGCTGTTACCTTCCCACCAGAGCGGTACCTAATTGGTCTACTCACATTTACATGTTTTCAAACTGCTAGGTTGGCAGAAGCTGGGGTTAACAGCAGGAGCTCACCCTGTTACCTTTTGGTCAGCAAGTTCAGCAGCTCAGCAGTTCAACCCACTGCACCAACTGGGGCTCCAAAACTCAATCAGATGGACCAATTCATTGTAAAGCAATCTTCTATGCTTCTCATTCATCAAATAGAGATTTTCTGTGTCCTTGGGCTTCTCTGGCAACAAGGTTGCACCAAGCTAGCTGAGTGTCACCTTCTGTTGCCACTCCCAAATGGCTTTGCAAAGGACTGGGGAAACCGGCCTGTCTAGTTTTGTCCCGTTTGTGTACATTGGTGGGGTTGTTGTTGTAGCTCTACTATCTTCCTCGCTCTG